GGTAGCATTTTTCTAAAGGCACTGTAAACGGACTCCGAAAGTTTGATATTCGATTTCACTCTCAATCCAATTATTTCGGATTTGGTTGTTAAAAATTGYATCTGATTAATAATCGAATGGGATGGGCTGAATAAAATTAAAATCTGAGTCTAAAAAAAATATTATTTTATATTATATAATTTATATACAATTATATTAATATTTTATATTTTTGTATCTTTATAAGTTAAAAATAATTAATTTTTTTCAAAACCTTTTTAATTTTTTATCATTTTAAACGTGAATTAAATCTGAATCTAATATAAGTCTGACATGTTGGATTTCGGAAAAGATTTGGATCCAACAGTTTGATAATCGGCATATTGGATGTGGATGTAACTGGATGTAATCCATTTGCAGCCCCTACTATGGTTATAAATAACTAAGTTGTCAGTTATTCAGTATGATTGACCACTTGATAACCCTTTGGCCTGTAAAGACAATCTTACATTGAAAGAAGTCTAAACTCCTTAGCTCTCTTCATCACTTCTTGCACTCATAGTCTCTGAGCTCACCCTAGCCAAAGCCAAAGCCAACCCTTCTTAATGATCTTAATGACTTTAACATCAAAGACTTGATCTACCTCTACCACTCCTATGTTTATTGGTCACTATCGGCTCGTCTAGCTCACCAATTCGAGACACCTTAACTCGTCCAACTCAATAGAATCAATGACCATCATTTTTCGATCCACATACAAGTCAAGTTAAAGAACGACTCAAGTAGGGTCTCCCTAAGAGGATGACATGTGTCTAATAAGCATGAAGTGCAATGCCTCCCCGACTCAAGCAGGGTCTTCCTAAATTATCTCTCTCCCACTTTTTATCTATATTTATCTGAAGAGAGATTGAATTAAAAAATTAAAAAATTATTTAAATATTTTAGCAAAATTATATAATAACTTTAAAATATTTATTAAAAACATAAAAAATAATTATAATAGATTTAATAATATTCATATTATTAATATATTTATATTTTTACAAAATTCATCATGAAATTATGTACTAAAACTATAAATTATGGTTTTCCAAATTTAAATGTTATTCAAATAATAAAAAATTAACATTAAAAAAATATTATTTAAATATTTCAATAACTAAATATATTAAATAACAAAATATTAAAAATAGTGAAATAATTATACAACAAAATATTTAATATTATGTA